TCCTCCTACATCTTCTTTTTTCCTTGCAGTTTATTTGTTGCAGCACCTTTTTCTTGTAGAGTTTCCCATAGTGTGCAGAAACAGGGAAGAGAGCAGAGCAAATACCCACTACTCTCTCCTAGACTCTCCTACAACTACTGCTGCTGTTAAGATGTCTGGAGGCCCACAAACAAAGGAGGTGGCAAAAAAAATTATTGGTTTTAGGAATGAACATAGTTCTGAAATCATACTTCAGGCGTAGGTTGGACCAGTCATTGCAAGGAAATCTGATGAAGGATTTGCAAAATCAGGTGCCCCTCCCATAGTTTACCTTCAAGGCTCCTCCTTTAGTGAGGCTCTTGCAGACTCTGGTAAATAAAAGTTGAATACTTTTTTAGCGCACATATACATACGTGTGCACATATGCAAGCAGCCCGGAGAGGGAGGGAGAGAATCTTAAGCAGACTCTGTGCTGAGCATACCCCACAAGGGGCTTGAGGCCACAACTCTGATTGCGACCTGGGCAGAAACCAAGAGTTGGGGGCTGCTTAACCCTCTGAGCCACCCAGGTACCCCTAAATACAAGTTTACTACCTAACTAGTACTTTGATTTCTTATCTGAGGCTCTTTTAAGTTAAACCAGTACTAGACTGCCAACTCTGGGGATTTGAAGGACAACCCATAACTTCAATTTTAAGATTTGAAATCTGTCACGATTGGAAATTCTTATTTTGTTTTCAGCGTCAGTAACTGAGAGTCTTTCTATATATGCTCCCGCTCCATAGATTGTGCTCAAGTTGTGGGGAGGGTTGGGTGGGGAACAGAAATGAAGCTTTTGATAATTTAGAAATCCACATTAGATATATCTGTCTCCTGATTACCACCCTACCCCCGCCTTTTTAACACCATAAAGCCGGTATTTTACTAATCTCACTTATCCCAGCTCTTCTTCATTTTACTTGTTTTCATTTCTTCCATTTCATCTCTCAAAATGATTCTTCCTCTGTTACACGGAATAATTCAGCTCTTTTCTGTTCTCAGACTTGTGTAATCAAACCCACCAAAAGGACTTTGTAAGTTTTTCATAAAATTAAACATATACTGCTTTAAGACCCAGCAGACTAGATATTTATCTGTAAGACTAGGTATTTACCCAAGTACTATTAAATGCCATATTTACTTAACCTGTGCATAAGTGTTCTGTAGCAGCTGTATTTGTAATCTTTACAAACCGCAAGCAACCTGGGTGCTGTCGTGCATTGGAATCCTACTTGATAATGAGAAGTACTGATCGATGTGTCATGAAGACTGGAGTATTTGTGGGTCCACGTGGATTAGAGTGCCAGCTTTTATGTGTGGCCATGAGGAGATGGCCATCTCTTCTTGTCCAGTCACTAGCAGACAGTATCCATTTTTCTTTATCTTCACATCTGAATGTCTCAACTACAGGAGGTCTGAATTGGAAAGGGATTAGTTAGGAACAGAGGATTTATTCATGCTGGTTATAACTGAAGTAGGAAGAGAGTAGCATAAACATTTCCTCCTTTCTCTGTCTCAAGTCTTTTATTTAACATTTTGGACCTCTGGTTATTCTATTTGGTGTGTTCCCTCCTTTTTTTCCTATTGTTGCTAACAAATCTTACGCATTTGTTGTCAGAAATGATCTTGCTCATCTTTGGTTTGTATTTCAGAAAGTACAGGAATGCCTGCATACTGGTAGCTACCATTTTGTGTGGGACAGCTTTGAAAATAAGAGATTAGAGGCAAACTTTTCCTTTCCTAGAGATGCAGAATGTTTACAAAATTTGGAAAAGTTACTTTTAATGACACTCCTATAGATTGAAAGTTACTTTTTAGTTATGAAATAGTGTAAGGTACAGAAAAGTACAGGAGAAAATATAATTTAATGAGCCCAGTGTGTTGATTGCTCGGATTTACCGGTTCTTAGTATTTTGCCATATTTGTGCCACAAACTTAGTTTATTTTGTAAACAAAATATCCCAGTTATCTTGTTTATAAATTTTGTTTGTGTATAAATACTTGAGTTTATTGAGTTTATCATATTTCATATTTTGATGCATACTTTATTAAATAATTACTGAGTTTTCTAGTTTTTTAATTCTGTCGTTTGCATAACTGAGTTGTGGAAGCTGTTGTCTCTGTTCGTGGGTAATGTGATGTTGGTGTAAATGTGCTGCAGTTTACAGTGCATGAACAAAACCCAGGAGCTTCTTAATGGGTTTTTATCCATAGTTTCAAGCAGATACACAGCACCTGGTTTGCACGTAAAATTGAACTATACAACTTGTAGAAATTTGGTAATGAACCCCCTTAGAAGTAATTAACTAGCATGACCTGCCTAGCCCCTAGGTAATTTTGTTGCTGAATTTTATTTACTAAGATTCCAGTCATGATATATAACAAATGAATTTGGTATTTTGAGTCATTTCACAATTAGAAAACTCTGTTGCTAATCCTTACATAAAATCAGTAGGTAAGATTCAGTAGATGAAGGTAGTTCCTGAATAAATGTTATCCAGATAAAAGACTAGCTGCTGAAAACTTGGGACTGGAAAAACCAGAGGAAAATAAAACTATGATGTGTGTGTGTGTGTGTGTGTGTGTGTGTGTAGGGGGAGAGCAAACTGTATAGCATGTATAGTATGATGCAGTTTTTTTGAAACAACACCCCTTTCCTATTTTTGGTGGTGGTGGTGGTGGTTCTGTATGAGCTAGAAAAAAGTATAACCTGCCCTAAATGGGAAATTTTGTTAAGGACCAGCTGGGGTTGGAAGTGGAGAGTTTTCTGGGTGTTTGTTGCTAAAGTAGAAACCTGGGCTCTTCAGTTCGAGGTTCCAGCTTAATGTATCTGAAGCCTGGAGTCAGTCCTTGTAACATGGGCCCCAGGTGATTTCAGTGTAGGTTGTTAGTAGTTATACTGATGCTGTAGAGGTGGAGACCGCAGAGTATTCTGCTGGCTTGATTTACCCATTGGTATGTCCTGTTTGGATCCTGATGGCAGTAGTATTTGTGGTCTGCTAGAAGAACCTATTTACTTAAGAGTGGTCCCTGCATCTAGTGTTTGTTTTTAAGCCTCAAACATTTCAGAAATGCAAATGTTCAGAAAGAAAAAAATAAAGACTTAATCTCCACTCACCCCTTAGACTTAAGTTTCTTCTGTATTTCAGGGCAGAAAATTCTGGGGGTAAGGGAAGAGACCACATGTGGATTTAAACTTTTAAAAAATAAATGTCAAACAGAAACAAAACAACAGTTATTTATTAAAATAAACCACCCAGGGGTGCCTGGGTGGCTCAGTGGGTTAAAGCCTCTGCCTTCTGCTCAGGTCATGATCCCGGAGTCCTGGGATTGAGCCCCACATCGGGCTCTCTGCTCTGTGGAGAGCCTGCTTCCTCCTCTCTCTCTGCCTGCCTCTCTGCCTATTTGTGATCTCTGCCTGTCAAATAAATGAATAAAATGTTTAAAATAAAATAAAATAAAATAAACCACCCAGCTTACATGAGGATATTTCTATTTGTGATTGATCATGGTGGGGGCCCCTGGCTGCCTAGGCTACAGTAACAGTTTTGAGGGGAGAGATGCCAGAAAAAGTAGTAGTTTCTACTACTAAGAATTTTGAGATGTGATGACAAACTGGAGCTGCAAAGTTCACTGGTAAACTGTTCCGTTATGTTGCGTTTCTGAGACTTGCTCCCACTTTTACAAGGGAAAATGTGGTCTGGCTAGGCTTTGGCCTGTATACTGTTATTGCGTTTTCTGCTTTAAGCCACGCCCATCTTAACTACAGCGGGGTTTTCTCCCTCTTGTGAGGGCGTGGGTTGGGCATTTGCATTGTGCCATTTGAATCTTTTTCCTTTTGGTCCTTGCAAACTAGTAAATGAGCTTTTTTTAAGTGCCTAGTGTCAAAGGATTTTAATTTAGTTGAAGGTAACTAGCTGGCAAGAGTTCATTCATTCATGGAATGCTTTTAAGTACTTCATGTTCATTATCTCATTTAATCTTTTTTTTTTTTTTTAAGATTTTATTTGACGGACAGAGATCACAAGTAGGCATAGAGGAAGGCAGGCAGAGAGGGGGAAGCAGGCTGAGCAGAGCCTGATGGGGGGCTCGATCCCAGGACCCTGAGACCATGACCTGAGACGAAGGCAGAGGCCCAACCCACTGAGCCACCCAGGCGCCCCTCATTTAATCTTTAAAAACAAACAAACAAACATGTAGGAAACTGGGACACAGAGGTGAAATAACATTAATTTGTAGAGAAAGCCTTTATTTGAAGACAGACATTTTGATTCCAGAACTCAGACTCTTAATCATAAAATTAATGTCATGGTGTTTGCAGTCAAACTGTGTAGGGCTCTGAATTCTAGGCTATAAAGAATTTAGACTTTATCCTTTATTATTTTACTCTTCAGAGTGTGGTCCTAGATGTTTAGGACAGCACCTGAGAACTTGTAAGGAATGCAGAAACTTGGGTCTGATCTAGGCCTCCTGCATTTTAACAAAATCTGTAGATAGTTTGTTGCCCATTCTAACTTGAGAACCACTCTCCATAGTGCTGTTGGTTTTGCATTTCTGGTCTTGTTGAGTTTAAATGATCTTGAATCGAGTGCTGTTTTTGGTCCCTTATCAACATTGACAGTACTATTTTTTCATTTGGGGAAAGGTTTAGAATTTGACAATAATTTAAACTTTGGTAACCTGTTCTAATTTGTAGTTGATGAAATGGTAAACATCTCTTCTGTGTACCAGTATTATCTCTTGAGGTGGAGATGTATTAAGTGTATTAAAAATCAGTACTAGGTATAGTTCTACTAAATCCTTTTTATAGGAGTTTTATAGGAGTTTACTAACTCCTAGTTATAATACATAACTCCTTATGTATTATAGTTCTTTTAAAGTTCGTGTATTTAGAAGAGTAGTTTGATACCATATTCCTACTAGAGCCATGCATTGTTTCGGGTCTCTTTGGAAAATTAAAGTCTGTATTAACTTTCTTACAGATATTGAAGCACAGATTCGAGAAATTCAAGGCAAGAAGGCGGCTCTTGATGAAGCTCAAGGAGTGGGCCTTGATTCTACAGGTTATTATGACCAGGAAATTTATGGTGGAAGTGACAGCCGATTTGCTGGATATGTGACATCAATTGCTGCAACTGAACTTGAAGATGTGAGTTACTGAGTATCATGAGTCAAGCATTTCTTTGATGAACAGAAATATAAAGGAATTTTCTCTTTTAGTCATCTTATTTAATCTGGGAAGACTTGGGGGGTTGAGGGATTTTTCTTTTGGAGACTAAAACTGTTGACGGTGTCCTTCCTCTTTAAGGTCCAGAAACTTGTGGAAGTGATCACTTCTGAATCCTTATGTTAAAACTAATTTGTTTATCCAGCAAAGAACCTGCAAATCAAGCGAAATAAGTCAGTCGGAGAAAGACAACTATCATATGATCTCCCTGATATGAGGAAGTGGGGATGCAACATGGGGGGTTAAGGGGGTAGGAGAAGAATAAATGAAAGAAGATGGGATTGGGAGGGAGACAAACCATAAGTGACTCTTAATCTCACAAAACAAACTGAGGGGTGTTGGGGGGGGGGGGGGTGGGGTTATGGACATTGGGTAGGGTATGTGCTATGGTGAGTGCTGTGAAGTGTGTAAACCTGGCGATTCACAGACCTGTACCCCTGGGGATAAAAATATATGTTTATAAAAGATAAAAAATTAATAAATTAAAAAAAAAAGAACCTGTAAATCATTAACTGGTATAAAGTAAATCCCTCTTGTTCCCTCCTGAGCTCTATCTAGAGTAGCCAGTGTGAGATGTGACTTTATTGTAGATAGCCATCTATCCTTGCCACTTTTGACTACTGACTTGTGTTTGATGCTGTGTGTGGTTTTCCCCTTGGCATCCTTTTTTTTTTTTTTTTTTAAGATTTTATTTATTTATTTATTTGTCAGAGAGCATAAGTGAGCACAAGCAAGGGGAACAGCAGACAGTGGGAAAAGCAGGCTTCTTACTGAACAAGGAGTGGGACTCGATCCCTGGACCTCTGGGACCTGAGTCAGAGGCAGACACCCAACCTGACTGAGCCACCCAGCCATCCCATGCCTTTGGCATTTTAATAAGAACTGAATGCTTCTTATTACTGATGCTAATGGCCTTTTTTAGTTACTCTGGAGGATGACCACTTCTCATTTTGAAGTGCATCCCTCCAAAAGTGTTTTTATATGGTACCCATAGCTTGTTGTGTCAGACCATTCCAAATATCCACGTTTGGTGAAGTGGCTGTTCATTGTTCTGCATAATTCAGTAACAAACATTTTATGTATATGGATTTTATCAAACTTGTTTTTATGAAATGCAAGCCACATTTTATTTTAGAGTTGGCACTTTTTTCTTTTAAGAAAAATTTTAAAGTTCTAGTGGTACAGTTTCCAGAAGCTAAGGGGAAATTGTGATTTTTGTTTTTGAATAAAATAAATGAGGTGTTAAAATCTTCGGAGTTAATCTATTGTTGCACCTCTTATAGTTGTAAAGTAGCAATATAACATTGGTCTTTGAACATACTGCTAGGGAGACAAATACATTTAAAATTAATTATATTTTATTTGTGTGGTTTAATCATGTTTAAGAAACATGAGTTAAAAAAACAAGGAGGGGCAGCTGGCTGCCTGAGTCAGTAGCACATGAGACTCCTGAGGTTGTGAGTTTGAGACCCACATTAGGTGTGGAGATTACTTAAAAATAAAACCTTTAAAACAACAACCAGGAAACTAGAGAATTCTATATAAGCTGTTGGCAGTTTCTAAATTTGAAAAACAAAATTTTTTAATTTTTCCTTTGAAGATTTTTATTTGTCAGAAAGAGTGGGAGCAGAAGCAGGAAAAGCAGCAGTCAGAGCAGGTAGAGGTAGAAGCAGGCTCCCCACTAACCAAGGAGCCTGATGTGGGACTTGATCCCAGGACCCTGGAATCATGACCTGAGCTAAAGGCAGATGCTTAACTGACTGGGCCACCCAGACATCCCCAAAAAACAAATTTCATTATGCTTTCTGTAAGAAAATGAAATGCTCAGGTTTTTTAGTCCATACCTATTTTATTTTAAATAGCTCCATTAGAAATCATTCCTTGTTTAGCGTTTTTTAAAAGAGAACTAAATTTAATTTCTTTAAAAGGTTTATGAATTGAAAGAAAACATAGGTGTTTGCAAGTTTTATGAATAAAGGATGGATATCACTTTGCCCTTTAGTCTTTTGATACTATGTTGAATCTGTATATTCTTTGTAATTTTTTTTTAATGATTTTATTTATTTATTTGACACAGAGAGAGATCACAAGGAGGCAGAGAGGCAGGCCGAGAGAGAGGGGAAAGAAGGCTCCCTGCTGAGCAGAGCCGATGCAGGGCTCGATCCCAGGACCCTAAGATCATGACCTGAGCCAAAGGCAGAGGCTTAACTCTCTGAGCCACCCAGGCATCCCTATTCTTTCTAATTTTTAACTGCTGACATTTTCTTTGCAGTTTTTAGGGGGGTATTTCTTCTTCTTTTTTTTTTTAAACAATTTTTATTAATATATAATGTATTATTTGCCCCAGGGGTACCAGTGTTTGAATCATCAGGCGTACACATTTCACAGCACTCACCTAGCACATACCCTCCCCAGTGTCCATAATCCAGCCACCCTGTCCCTGCCCCCAAACAACCCTCAGTTTGTTTTGTGAGATTAAGAGTCTCTTACGATTTGTCTCCCTCCCAATTCCATCTTGTTTCATTTTTTCATTCCCAGCCCCCACCCTGCCTCTCAGATTCGTCATATCAGCAAGATATAATTGTCTTTCTCTGATTGACTTATTTCCTCAGCATAATACCCTCTAGTTCCATCCACATCCGTTGCAAATGGCAAGATTTTGGGTGGGTTTTTGTTGTTGTTGTTTTTTTTGTTTGTTTTTTTTGGATGGCTGAGTAGTGTTCCAGTGTATATATATACCACATCTTCTTTATCCATTCATCTGTTGATGGACATCTAGGCTCTTTCCATAGTTTGGCTATTGTGGACATTGCTGCTATAAACATTTGGGTGTGCGTGCCCCTTCGGATCACTATATTTGTATCTTTAGGACAAATACCCAGTAGTGTGATTGGTGGGTCGCAGGGTAGCTCTATTTTCAACTTTTTGAGGAACGTCCATGTTGTTTTCCGGAGTGGCTGCACCAGCTTGCATTCCCACCAACAGTGTAGGAGGGTTCCCCTTTCTCCGCATCCTCGCCAGCATCTGTTGTTTCCTGACTTGTTAATTTTAGCCATTCTGACTGGTGTGAGGTAGTAACTCATTGTGGTTTTGATTTGTATTTCCCTGATGCCAAGTGATGTGGAGCACTTCTTCATGTGTGTGTTGGCTGTCTGGATATCTGCTTTGCAGAAATGTCTGTTCATGTCTTTTGGGGGCGTTTCATTGCAGGATGACGATGACTACTCATCATCTACAAGTTTGCTTGGTCAGAAGAAGCCGGGATATCATGCCCCTGTGGCATTGCTTAATGATATACCACAATCAACAGAACAGGTGACTTTCCTTTTGTTCTTCTCCCCTCCTGCCCCTTTTTAAAAATTAAAACCAGAGTTTATTCAGCTAAGGAAAACTGAATGTCTCAATTCCCGTGGAAGCTCACATAGTTTAGAAATCCAGTTGTTGGAATGTCTTGATGAGAGTTGATTGGGAGGATTAGAAGTAATAACTGATTTATTTTGTTAAGGTAATCATTTCATTTAAAAAAAAAAGTAATCATTTCGTGAAGAGTTGAATGATGTGGACATGTATATTGTCTCATTTCCCTCTGTCTTAGTTTTTCATGTTAATATTTATCCTGAAATGATATAATTCTTTCATTAGTAGGTATTTATTAAACATTTTTATGTGTCTTTTCATGTTCTGGTTTTTACATACTCTCTTTGGGTATTTAATAAAGTGGTTATTAAATGAAACATAACCTCTTTTCAGTATGATCCATTCGCCGAGCACCGACCTCCAAAGATTGCTGACCGGGAGGATGAATACAAAAAGCACAGGAGGACCATGATAATATCCCCAGAGCGTCTTGATCCTTTTGCAGATGGTAATTCTTTCCCACTTTTCTATAAGTTTTCAGGAATTTATTTGTCTTAAGTTGTCTTTAGCCCTTTGATTTTTTTTGGCATGCTTATGAATTTGCTTTTCTTTTTTAAAATCCCCCTTATTATAGATATGTATATAGATTTGGTTGAAGTCACAGATGCCATATTCTTCATCTTTATAATGCAAGTTTTCTTTCCAGGTAGAAGGACAAGAAAATAATGAGCCAATGCCATAGAAACGCAAAGGGTTAAAGGTTTTTCTTTTACTTTTGTTTTGGGTACGCTTTCTATACTTGGAACAAATGTGTTTTTCTGCTCAAAATACTTTCAAACTATTGAAAGTTTTCATTCCAAATCCTAGACTTTTGGGCTTGTTACTTTTGAGAAACTGTTTCTCACATTAGAGCTCCCCCCATATTGCTCTAAATATAGTTTAGTAAATGCACCTACTTTGCTCTAAGCATACTTAAAGTTAAAACAAAAGTATGTATACAAAGACTTTGATATTTTTAATAGTTGGAGTCTGTTTTGCTAATTTTAGTGTGCAGGTCAGCACAAGGGGCATAGTGAGCCTGATGGAAGCTTTCCTCAGGTGAGTTTCAAAAACAAAATTAGGTGCCTGTTTCTTAGAATTAGATTCTGCTGCAGGTTTACAAATTAGACTTTCAGCCTGCATGAATTAGTAGGGATATTCTTTTTTTACTTGCATAATTGTAATTGATTTAAACATGTATGTCAGAATTCACAGGCCCATACTAACTGTCCTTAATTTCTTTCCTACAGCAGTACTGCTATATGCCAGTCCTGTCTGCATTCTTAAGGGTGCAGTTCAACACATCCTCTCTAGATTATGGTGAAAAAGTATTCCAAAGGAAGTCTTATCAGAGCTAGTGTCAGAAAGAATGACACTATCAATTGGGCATGATCTTCAGCATAGGAAATGTCTTAGAATTTTATTATTTTTTTCCTAAATTGTGATGCTATACTACTGGTATAGCTAATTATCACATTTCTAAAACATAGTGTGCCTCTGTGAATCTTGTTATGTACTGTTTGGGCTTCTTTAAGATATTTTGAAGTTTGAAAGCAAATGCTGAAACTTGAACCAAGAGACTAACACATCTCTTTGTACACCACTTTTCTTCTGTGTGCAACATAATAACTGGTAGAAGTAATATATTTCAAGTAATATGTTTCCGATTGTAATTTATACTTTCTAAGAAAATAAAAATGTTTTTGGGTCAACGGAACTTAAAAAGAATGAAGCCCTTTTTAGTAACATGACATCAGAGTAAGATGATAGGTATATTTTAAAAGTCAGATTTTCTAAACTGCAACTGTTTTAGAACGTTATATGGAGAACTTCTCTAGATATAGTTATTTGTAGTCAGGATTTTAACAGCTTGCAACAGGTAATGTTTTGAATATAAATATCTTTCCAAAGTGTTACTAATGGTAAAGAGATAATTTTCTAGGCTTCTATTCTGCTGCTTGAAGTCAGAACTGCTGATGGAGACAAAGGCACGAAAGTGTACGTATTCCGGATTAGCAACCCAGGAACCCATCACTTCTGAAGACTCTAAACTGTGCTGTCATTTTGTTTTTATATGCATTAAAATATTTGTTTTAAACTGCTGTAGATATGTTTGTGTTCAAACAGGTTAAATTGATCAGCAAACTCAATAAAAAGTAAGATGTATAATTATTAAAGCTTTCCATCAAAAAATAAATTAAATGATTATGCAATAACATAACATTAGAGCAGGGCAGATAAATCAATTTAACCTAATTATCTTTTATTTATTGTACTCTTGTCCTGTTGCTGTTCTTTTCTGCAGGAGGGAAGACCCCTGATCCTAAAATGAACGCTAGGACTTACATGGATGTAATGCGAGAACAGCATTTAACTAAAGAAGAGGTATGTGAGCATGATTTTTTTATTTTGGTGGTTGTGAAAGAATGTAAAAAGAAAGTTCAGATTGAGAGACTTTTATGTTTCCTTTTTATTTGTTGCACAAGTAATATTTTTAATAGTATTAATAAAAATTAAATTGAGAAAGAAACCTTACCCAAAGTTCTGGCTCCTCCCAGATTAAACTTTTCATACTTCTATATCCTTTTCTAGTCCTTGGCCCTTTGGCTGTATGTCTGGGTGTGTACACACACATGTAAATGTATGTGTAGCTATACACAGACATGTATCTTATGGTGGTTATATCTGGGGGGAGGATTGGTGGTGTGTGTCTGAAACAAATGTCTGAGGGAAAAGTCATACAGTTAAATCATTCCTTGAAAAGCTTCTAAAATCTTCCATAAGATTCAGTTTGGATATGGGTAGAGAATTCTGAAGGATTTTTACTGACCTGCGGTGATAGCTCCATTTTGTTTTAATAGTAAGCCTCCATAACTTATTACAAATATATAATGTGTTATATGGAGTAAGTGTGGTAATGGATCCTTATTTAAAATCATGGGGTAAATTAAATGTACATTTGTTATGACTACGTTGTATATGATTTACGTAGTTAGAATTTTTAAGTTTCTGCTTTTAGCCACCTTTCTATCTTACTACATAGTCTGAACTGTTACATATGTGAATTTTAAATAAAATTTCTTCCATGAAAGCGTTACTCTTTAAGATTTTACTTCACTGTTTTTAAAGTAGGGTGCTCTGTGTTACAAATTCCAGAGGTGCACATCTTTTGTTCAGAAAGACATTGTATAGAACTAGAAATACAGAAAGGAAAGGGAAATAAGGAATGGGACTCCCAGTAGCATAGAAAGCACAACAAGCGAAGACAATGACATTAAATTGAAATGACTGCTGATTATATGAAAATATGTTGAAAAGGTTTTGGAGATACTCAGTGCCTGTTGAAATATTTTTAGAGAGAAATTAGGCAGCAGCTAGCAGAAAAAGCTAAAGCTGGAGAACTAAAAGTTGTCAATGGAGCAGCAGCGTCCCAACCTCCCTCAAAACGAAAACGGCGTTGGGATCAAACAGCTGATCAGACTCCTGGTGCCACTCCCAAAAAGTTGTCAAGTTGGGATCAAGCAGAGGTAATTTATTTTGATTTTTAATGACGATTGTTACTATTTTTGGATTTTCCCTCCCACATGGAGTGTGTTAGCCTACTCTTGTTGACATCAAGTTAACACAGACCAGGTGGCTCAAATAATAGACATTGATTTTTTCACCGTTCTGGAGGCTTGAAGTCAATATCAAGGTGCCAGCAAGGTTGATGTCTGGTTAGAGTACTCTTTTTGGCTTGTAGAAGGTGTCTACAAGGTGTCTGTGTCCTTATGTGGCCTTTTCTCTGTGTGTGCATGAAGAGAGTAAGCGAGGTCTCGTGTCTCTCCTAAGGACACCAGTGCTATCAGGTTATGGCCCTAACCTTATGACCTCATTTAACCTGATTACTTCACTAAAAGCCTAATTTCTAGATATAGTGACATGGGTGGTTAAGGGCTTCAACATAAGTTTTTTTGGGGGAAGACACAGTTCAGTCCATAACCTGGAATAAAGGAACGTTCCTTCTGGAGTATTAAAATAGATACTTCAGTATGTCACATTGTGGAGGTTGAGTACAGTATAGTGATCTTCATTTTCAAGATGGATAATTGAACCCTCTGACCACTGGTGTCACGTGGGTAGTGCTACCGCATTACCTTAGTCAGTTTGTTTTCTTAGAGAACGTCTTTGGGGATTGTTTTTATTGTTTGATTTGTTTAAACTTTTTCAAAATTGTAAAATAATAATAACATAAAATTGCCATTTTAACCATTTTACAGTGTACAGTTTGGTGGCATTAATTACACTCACAGAGTTGTATAACTGTCTCCACTAATTCTGAAATTTTTTCATTACCTTGAGCAAACAGTAATCATTAAGCAGTACTTCTCTATCCCCTCCAGCCCCAGAGAAAATTTCAGAAGAATAATATCTCCTTGAGAGCTTTTTAGTTGAATTTGTTTCCTGTTTTTCCTTTTCCAAAATAGAAATAATAAAAAACCTTCAACTGTTCCCACTATGAAATTGACCAGTATGCCTACGTCTGTTCTCATTTACTCCTTTATTTCTGAGTTGTCAGTGCAGGTTGAACAACTTCTTTACATACTATTTCCCATCCCGTTACTCCTCAGAGACTTTTGTATAACGACAGTTTTTTCTCTGTACTCCAGGTTATTATCAGCAAACACTTTGTACCCATTTTTCCCTTTTAAGAACAAAAAACTACAGGAAACCATCCCTTGATCCTCACATCCCCTTCCAGGTGCCACCGCATTTCTGTCTCCACCGCAGAACGCTTTGAATGAGTTGTCTAAACCTGTAGTCTCTGCTTATCTCGTCTTCTGCTTATACCACTCCACCAAAACATCTCTTGTCAAAGTCACTTGACCTCCTTCTGGTAAATTCGGAGATCAAGTCTCAGCCCTCATATCCTGTATCATAACATCATAGATTCTATCATTTATCAGTGGCATTGACCATTACTTGATTCCCTTTTCTTAGGTTCTGGACTTCAGTCTCTCCTGTCCTTCTTATACTTTCCTCACTGACTCCTATTCCTCAGTCTTGTTTGCTGGATCTTCCTCAGCTTCCTTGAACTTGGGGGTTTTCTTGGGGGTTTTCTTCCTTGGACCTCTTTTCCATCTAAATGCATTACATAAGATCTCGTTCCTGTCTTCATAGACCATCTCTGTGAGATGCTCCCAAATGTACAAATCTATCCTCTACGTGTCCTGGGTTCCCAGACTTGGCACTTTCATTTGGACGTTTAATAGACATTTCAGAACGAGTTTTTCTTTCACTTACCCTTTCCACCCTGTTCCCATGTCTGTTGGTGCGAGCCAGATCCTTAGAGTCATGTCAGTGTCATCCAGTAGTTATTCTCTTGTCCCAAATTCTATCCATAAGTACATTTTGTTGGCCCCACCTTTAAATATATTCGGAATCTAACCTCTTTTCATTACCTCTGTCTCCACCGCCCTAGTCTTAATCACTTATTTTTTTTCCCCAAAGATTTTATTTATTTATTTGACAGAGATCACAAGTAGACAGAGACGCAGGCAGAGAGAGAGAAGAAGCAGCCTCCCCACTGAGCTCGATCCCAGGACCTTGGGATCATGACCCGAGCTGAAGGCAGAGGCTTTAACCCACTGAGCCAGCGAGGCGCCCCGTCAATAATTTTTTTTTTAAGTTTATTTATTTACTTCAGTAATAGCTGTACCCAGTGTGGGGCTCAAATTCATGACCCCGACATCAGGAGTTGTATGCTCTTCCACCTAAGCCAGCCAGGCACCTCCTAAGGTCACTGTTTTCAGTGTAAGATTACTGCAGATTTATTTTCACACCATGGCAGTATTTTCCCATACCCAGAATTGGGATATAATAAACCTAATAATTTCCTCACACTTGAGTTTAAGGTAGACCTTGAGGAGTTCCCATTTGCTTGCTGACATGTGAGAAGATTTGGTTCTCTAGAATATGTTGTTATTCAATTCATTATTTGTTTTAAAGATTTACTGATTCGAGAGAGCGAGAGTGCACAAGCAGGGGCAGAGGGAGAAGCAGATTTGCCTGCTGAGCAGGGAGCCTGATGTAGGGCTCGATCCCAGAACCCTAGGATCATGACCTGAGCCACCCAGGCACCCCTAATTATTACTGTATTTAATTATGTAATTGACAGTGCTAATTTTAAAAACTGGGAAAGAGAAACTTGTGCTGTTATTTGTATGCTCATGAAACTTAGACACGAGAATTTGTCTGTCTTATAAAACTATAGAGTTTCAGATGCTGTTTTCTTTCATTGTGCTCGTTTAACACAGCTCCATCCTAAATCAGGAATGTGGGAGTTGTAGTGGATAGTACAAAGAGTTTATTTCCTACAGATCAGCAGGAGAAACAGTTGCCAAATAGGAAATTTTGAACAATTTATCTGCTTCACTCACCTAATTAAAAATTTCTCAGCCCTGAATGATACATAGAATCTTCTTAATGGGAAAAAAAAAATTGAGCCTTCAATTTGTTGTGGTGTTTATGCAGTTTGCAAGTATAAAGCTAAATGGAATTCTTGTGTTGGATAGAGCATCTAATTTTAAATTAAAAAAGTGTATTACAAAACCTGTGGAATACTTCAGCATCTTAAATACAAATTTTGTTTGCCTAACACTGAAGCACCTGCTGCTTTGATACTGTATTGTCTGCACTGTGCAGGTTCTGTTACCATGGGCTGTTGGATGCCTTGCATCACCTACTCCTTGTCTCCATTCGAACGATAATGGGAGCTTTGATTACTTCACTCTACTTCTGATGTTTTTTTCACGAGTCCTGTCAGCATCAGTTTGAGAATAGTACAGATGTGATTGTAAATCTGAGGGTTTGAAGTTCTGTGACAGTATCTAGTTATAATTACCCAGGTGATCCAAAACATACTTAGATTAATTAAACACACAAGAAATTGAACAAAAACACTAAAATAGTATCTTAGTGAAAACTCATAGATAATATGTCTCTAAGCACAGTTTGGGAAATATTGCTGTAATTTAAAGTTGACATTTTTGATTGCAGATCTAGACAGAGAAGGTTTAGTGATTTTCTCAGAGTTACAGAGCTACTAATGATATATCCAAGACTTATACCCGAAATAACACTTTTTTTTAAGATAGGGCTTTTTCACTGCTTCAAATTAAAACTTCACATCGTTTTTAGTCAGACATATTTGCTATAAAGAAGGTTTCTCTTAAGCAGGGCAATTTACTCATTTATACAGAATAAGACTAAAACATTTGTTTGTAATTTTTTTGGTAGAAATTTTCTAGTTATTTTTATGTGGCTGTGTAGGTATGTGAAATCAAGTGTCTTTTGCTTTGTTAAGACCCCTGGACATACCCCTTCCTTAAGATGGGATGAGACACCAGGTCGTGCAAAGGGAAGTGAGACTCCTGGAGCAACCCCTGGCTCAAAAATATGGGATCCTACACCTAGTCACACACCAGCGGGAGCTGCTACTCCAGGACGTGGGGACACACCTGGCCATGCAACACCAGGCCATGGAGGCGCAACTTCCAGTGCTCGTAAAAACAGATGGGATGAGACCCCCAAAACAGAAAGAGGTACTTCTGTTGGAATCTTGGTGTGGTTTGTGTTTGGGTGAGATACTGACTTGAATGAGTGAATGATATGTTTATAGGAGGAAATCTGTTCACATCTCTAGTCCTGGGTTAGAAAGGCAAATAATCAGTTGCTTTGGGGATAAAGAACTAAGGAGATCATATCCTATGCCTTAATTCTTTTCCCTTCTTGAAAACATAAAATGTACCATTTTAGCCATTTTAAGTGTAGTGTTTAGTGGTGTTAAGTACATTCATAGTGTTGTGCAGCCGTCACCACTGTTCATTGCTAGAACTTTTTCATCATCCTGAACAGAAACTCTGTACCCATTAAATGATAACTCCCCATTCCCTCCTCTTCCCAGCCCCTGGGAACCTCTGTTCTATTTTCTGTCTATATAAATTTGCCCAAATCTCTTGGTGTTTTTTTGTGTAAACTGTTTTAAGCTATGTTTTATTAATTTTTCGTGAGAGTAGCTGTGAGAAGTTAAGACTTGATAGTACATCTGTTACACTAAAATTTTATAAAGGATTTCTAATGATGTGGGAGAGGGCTTAAAGGAAAGAAGCAGTTTAGAATGGGACATGAAGCGTAATCTCGACTGTATAGAGAAATCAGAAGTAGCTCAGGATGCACAAAGTAGCTGTTTCTGGGTTGGGCTATTGTGTCTGGTTAAAAAAATACTTTGGTTTTTCTACTCCTCAGTGATTACTGTGTTTTTGTAATTAGTGAGAAAGAAACAAAAAATAATGTAGAAGGATAAATATGAAATGAAAATTTAAACTTTAAATGGGTCTCTATTTTAAGGATATCCTAATTTTGAACTTGACTAGTTTTAATATTTTAGCTCTTTGAGAATAAACAGTAATTTTTTAACAGTAGTTAGAATGTATTTATTTCCTTTTTTTTTTTTTTTTTTTTTTTAAAGATACTCCTGGACATGGTAGCGGATGGGCTGAGACGCCTCGAACAGATCGAGGTGGAGATTCAATTGGTGAAACACCAACTCCTGGAGCCAGTAAAAGAAAGTCACGTTGGGATGAAACACCAGCCAGTCAGATGGGTGGAAGTACTCCTGTTCTGACCCCTGGAAAGACACCAATTGGCACACCAGCCATGAACATGGCTACCCCTACTCCAGGTAGAAAATCTCCCATTGGAAATAATTTTTTTCCCTGGAACTATTTTGAATTTTTTTCCTCTTAGGTATTCTGTTTGCTATTAATGCCTACTTTTAGCAAGAATAACTGGATTAAAAAGTTTTGGTTTGATTTTATAATATGAAGCAATTAAAATTACAATTGATATTAACTGTCTTATATCCCAAGGGCCTATGTAATGATAAAGACTTGCACTATAGATTGTAATGGAAATTTGCTCTTTTGGTAGGTCACATAATGAGTATGACTCCTGAACAGCTTCAGGCTTGGCGGTGGGAAAGAGAAATTGATGAGAGAAATCGCCCACTTTCTGATGAAGAATTAGATGCTATGTTTCCAGAAGGATACAAGGTAATAACAAGTATTGGTTTGGTGATATTTAGGATGTGAACTTTATTTAAATGTTTTTTGAAGAAATTGATTGGTCAAGTTTGTATTGGCCTTGCCCAAGTTTACTACTGCTGTTCCATTCTTTTAGCTATTTCCAAGTATATTTCAGTTCCAAAAAGTAATAGAGATGAAAAAAAATGAATGACATGAAGCTTTTATTACTTTTGGAAGGTGAGAAATTACAAGGACTTCTAGGACCGTACTTTGCGCACTGCTGCCTTGGTGTGGAATAGCTTGAGGCTTTAGTTCATCAACTGTTGGAGATTGAAGCTCACACTTGGTCACAGTCTTACTTTGTGCCTCACAAGATTTTGTGTGCTTAAGTTCTGGATTGCAGATAAGCACAAAGGATATTCTCTTTACCATAGCAGCTTGAAGTTTATTTTGAATTACAAAATTTTCTAAGTACCCGGGACTCAGGAACCATTTGCTGGTCTAAAGGTAGTCTGTGGTCGTGTAGCTGGAACGTAAGACATCTAGATGGCCTTTCCAGAGCCTTATGTTGCCAGTGCCTGCTGCTTTTTAAGAGTTTGTATATGTCTGTTTTTCGCCTTGTTAGATTTATATTAGAGTGTTTTAAGTGTGCATGAATTTTACAGCCTCCGCATAATGCTATGGAAATAGATGTTCTCCAACTTACTGTTGACTGTGTGCGTGTCTTCTCAGCTGCAGTCATGATTTTCTCAGTATCCGTAGGAGAGAAAAATCTTTGTGAATCTTAGAAGAAGTTTTTGGTTTAATCAAATGGTGTATTTTATAGGGCTTTGGTAAATATTTTACTTTTAGTTTTTTATGCATTTAGTTTTATACACTTAACTCATTTTTGTTCAACTTAAATATTAATATTCCTTTTATAAAAAAGTGTAGAGATTTATTCGAATGGCTTTTCATTTTATTAAAATTAACGATCTATTTGCGCTTTGTGAACTTACTTCCATTTATGGCCTGTCGGCTCATCAGCTTGTTTATATAGGTTAATGTTTGAAAATGATCAGAATTTCATAAGCCTGCTTTAGGTATCTCATTTTCCGACATTCCTAATATTCTTAATTTATATTTCAATTAGGTAAGAAATATGAATGGTTGTCATACAGATTTTAAATATAAGAGCCCAAAGATGGGATCAGTGTTAATTCTTGCTTCCAAGCAAGAAGCGTCTAGCTAATAAACTGTAAGATATTTAGTGCAAATATTACTCATTGTGTTCTTATGTAAAATAATGAAACTTTATAAAGTCAAAATCCTAAACTGTCTTTTAACTGTACTAGGTACTTCCCCCTCCAGCTGGTTATGTTCCTATTCGAACTCCAGCTCGAAAGCTGACAGCAACTCCAACACCTTTGGGTGGCATGACTGGTTTCCACATGCAAACTGAAGATAGGACAATGAAAAGTGTTAATGACCAACCATCTGGAAATCTTCCATTTTTAAAACCCGATGATATTCAGTACTTTGATAAACTTTTGGTGAGTGGTAATAGCAGAACTAAAATACTACTTTTTACTTAGGACTTCAAATTGCAATATCTTAATCTACTTTTACATTTTCTCTTTTTACTCTTAGGTTGATGTTGATGAATCAACACTTAGTCCAGAAGAGCAAAAAGAGAGAAAAATAATGAAACTGCTTTTAAAAATTAAGAATGGAACACCTCCAATGAGAAAGGTAAATACCAGTTTACTAAGTCATCAGGTTCTCTGTAATTCTGTGTTTAGAAATCTGTAATTAATCTTTTCATCTTTACCAAGGGCAAAGTGTAAGAGAAAGAAAGGTGTGTAGTATGAGGGATTTAGCTTTTTAATCAAACAATTTATGCTAATAAGGATGTTGAAAAATGAGATTCTCCTTTTTGTTCTCAGGGCCTTTAAAACATGCTGAAGACACTAAGGTAATTAGTGGAATTATGTGAGGAATTACATAATACTATGTAATCTGAAAATGGGCATTGCTTTACTGGAAATTGAGGAGTTTTATATTATACCCTGTGGCTCCATTATCGTACTAAATTATTACGCTCTTTTGAATTAACTGAAAACATTGAACTTCAGTCACAGGAGTTCAGAGTAATTTGATGGGAATGCACTCATACTACTCTGTGTAAGATGTCTGTGAAGTTTACACTAAAAATATTAAGTTATAGAAAATCATGGAGTAATTTGCTTGTTCAGAACACTTCATTATAAAGGATTACACCTTTTACTCTTCCCTTTCTTCCCCCAGGCTGCATTGCGTCAGATTACTGATAAAGCTCGTGAATTTGGAGCTGGTCCTTTGTTTAATCAGATTCTTCCTCTCCTGATGTCTCCTACACTTGAGGATCAAGAGCGTCATTTACTTGTGAAAGTTATTGATCGAATATTATACAAACTTGATGACTTAGTTCGACCATATGTGCACAAGGTTTGTTCTCCACTAGTAGTGTTTCTGCTGGTTGACTATTTTTTAATATAAAGGGAATTTATGGATTTTTTAAACCAGCTTATTATATTCGTGAAATTTTAAAAATTCTGAAAGCATAATAGCCAAGGCATCCATTCATAGTATAAAGGGAAATTTCAGCCCGTTGCAAGACATTGAGTTAACCGGTATTAAATTTATATGTCCTGAGACCCTTTTCTTTGCGTATGCATACATTACACGTATACAAGTATGTGTGTGTATATATATAGAAGGAACTTTTTGTCATTTTTACAATGGATTCCTGTATTCATATTTTTTCATTTGCTTTTATTGGTATAACATTAGGATGAGAAAAGATGTGTGTCGGTAGCACACCGTTTAGCATTAAGGATCCATCTTTCTGCTAGTGGTAATAATGGCTTAGAATTGTAAAATGGAGATTGATGTATAAGTTACTATCTTCTAAAATGTTGACTGTTAATCTGTGTGATTAATAGTTCTTCCCAGTTTTTATCTTAATATTTGTCTTCGTATATCTTGAACTTGCATAGTTACAATTTTTGATTCGTCCCTTGATTAATAAAGTCCTGGTAGTTATAAGTTTCCTAGTAAAATATGTTTTGTACACTTGTGTGTTTAAATTACACAAATGGCCTATAATACATTTTTCTATATGTATAAAACTTGGTTACATGAGTATGGCATTAGTAATTTGTGTAAAAATGTAGCTCTTTTTCTTTTTCAGATCCTCGTGGTCATTGAACCATTGTTGATTGATGAAGATTACTATGCCAGAGTGGAAGGTCGAGAGATTATTTCTAATTTGGCAAAGGTATTTACATTGTATTTCTAGAGGAGAAAGTTTGTCTTCACCGATGAGATTATTTGATTATATAAAGAGTTAAGGGTTAAAAAAAAGAGTTAAGGGTTAATGTTACCAACTTACGACTGTCCTTTTTTCTTGACTTTGTAGGCTGCTGGTCTGGCTACTATGATCTCTACCATGAGACCTGATATTGATAACATGGATGAGTATGTCCGTAACACAACAGCTAGAGCTTTTGCTGTTGTAGCCTCTGCCCTGGGCATTCCTTCATTGTTGCCCTTCTTAAAAGCTGTGTGTAAAAGCAAGAAGTCCTGGCAAGCGAGACACACTGGTATTAAGATTGTACAGCAGATTGCTATTCTTATGGGCTGTGCCATCTTGCCACATCTCAGAAGTCTAGTTGAAATCATTGAGCATGGTAAGTTGTAATATAACTTTGTCTTTTATAAGACAAGTGTCCTGAATTTGGCCTACTGATTTGGAGGGATAAATGGAAGGGCTTTAACTATATCAACACAATATAGTTTATGATAGGACTTGTAACATTATCTGATTGTAGGCTATGGTTCGTACTGGCTTTGCCTCCTTTTGTCTGATGTGAACAGATTCTGCAGTTTGACACAATGGTGAGGTTGTGAAAATTAGGAAATGTCACTTAGTTACAACCTGTGTTTGGTTTTCTAGGTCTTGTGGATGAGCAACAGAAAGTTCGGACAATTAGTGCTTTGGCCATTGCTGCCTTGGCTGAAGCCGCAACTCCGTATGGTATTGAGTCTTTTGATTCTGTGTTAAAGCCTCTGTGGAAGGGTATCCGCCAACACAGAGGAAAGGTGGGTTCACCAGATAGATTTTATTTTTCATTGGATTTCTACTCATTGAGGTGAAGGGAACTTTAATTTATTAAGTATGCAAATTTTTTATTTTAAAATAGGGTCTGGCTGCTTTCTTAAAAGCTATTGGGTATCTTATTCCTCTTATGGATGCAGAGTATGCCAACTACTATACCAGAGAAGTGATGTTAATCCTCATTCGAGAATTTCAGTCTCCTGATGAAGAAATGAAGAAAATTGTGCTAAAGGTAATTGTTACAAATTTTTATCCCAGATTTGTTCATCAAATTGGATGTGTTTCATGATTCAAAGAGAATGTTAAAGCACGTTAAAAAAAATAACGGTTGTGTGTTAAGCCAGGCTAGTTTTACTATTATTTTTTAACCTTTTAGGTGGTAAAGCAGTGTTGTGGAACAGATGGTGTAGAAGCAAACTACATTAAAACAGAGATTCTTCCGCCTTTTTTTAAACACTTCTGGCAACACAGAATGGCTTTGGATAGAAGAAATTACCGTCAGGTAAACTTCCATTGTAAAAAATATTTTCAAGGTATTCTTGGCTCTCTCAGCCCGGAGAGCCTATGGCTCTTGATCTCAGGGTTGTGAGTTCAAGACCCACGTTGGTTGTGGAGCCTACTTCAAAAAAGAATATTTCCAAAAATTCTTTCAACTAAATTTTTAAGTCAGCTCAAATAAATGTTACATATTATTTTTTGCCTTTGTTACCTCACAATATGTGCTTGATTGTGAAAGGAAATGGATTTTAGTTAGCCAGTTAACTTCCATTTTGATTTTGCATGCTATGATCAATTCCCAACCAGGAATTAATGTCTTTGTCTAGTTGAACGAAATGCTGAACCTGAGTGGGTAAAACATGACTACAGTCTTACCTTAAATCACTTTGACATCTACCCACAGTTACGGTTTTTTGGGTCACCTTTGTTTTTAAGGTTTTTAAAACAGGAGTTAACTGTTCTCAGCATGCTTGCTAGCCTGAATATATCTAAGGGGATTTTTTCCTTCTCTTTCTAGTTAGTTGATACTACCGTGGAGTTGGCAAACAAAGTAGGTGCGGCAGAAATTATATCTAGGATTGTGGATGATCTGAAAGATGAAGCTGAACAGTACAGAAAAATGGTGATGGAGACGATTGAGAAGATTATGGGCAACTTGGGAGCCGCAGATATTGATCATAAACTTGAAGAACAGCTGATTGACGGCATTCTTTATGCTTTCCAGGAGCAGACTACAGAGGTATTAATACGAATTATATAATGGCAGATTGCTGCATTCATGTTTGTAAAACACATTACTTTTCAAACAAACAATTATTACTAAAAAGTAATTGAGTTTAAAATTTTAAAAATGCTCTTGGTCTCATTCCAGTTGTCTATGGAATACTCTTCTACTTTAAATTTTCAGATTTCATTTTGTTAAAACAATATTAGCATTTTTAAACTAGTCAGTCACAAGTTGACTTCTAGTTCACAGTCAGCGTAGTTCTAAAATTTAACTTCGATTTTCTTTTCTTAGGACTCAGTAATGTTGAATGGCTTTGGCACAGTGGTCAATGCTCTCGGCAAACGAGTCAAACCTTACTTGCCTCAGATCTGTGGTACAGTTTTGTGGCGTTTAAATAACAAATCAGCAAAAGTTAGGCAACAGGCAGCTGACCTGATCTCTCGAACTGCTGTTGTCATGAAGACTTGTCAAGAGGTAAACTTTTGTGTGAGATTCTTACCTCTTCACCAGATAGTTTCATGTGAATAGTAACATTTTAATATTATTATTATTTTTTATTACAGGAAAAATTGATGGGGCACTTGGGCGTTGTTTTGTATGAATATTTGGGTGAAGAGTACCCTGAAGTATTGGGCAGCATTCTTGGAGCACTGAAGGCCATTGTAAATGTAATAGGTATGGAATTTGCTGGTCATGTAAGAATTTTTTTGTTTTGTTCCTTTAACTTCGTTTTTTTGTGTGTGTGTTTTTGTTAAAAGTAAAATACAGAATCGTATTTAGGAGTTGAACAATGATTTCTAATATTTTGTTTTACTTCAAAATTATAGTGAAGTTGGGATGTCCCAGAAGTCTTATTTGTTTAAACTCATTTATATTGTACTTTAAAAAGAGAAAAGAGGACAAGGTTAGGACCTGTAAGAGAGGTGGGAATAGTTAGAACTTAAGAAACTTTGAAGTCCGATGGAATAGAGATTTCCTAATAAAAATAGTATCTCACCTGAAATGTATTCAGGGGGTGAGAGGAGACAATGCTGAAGTTTTAGTTTTAGGACAAAATATTATATATTTCTTTAACCTTGAATTAGTACATGGTAATGGCAGGTTTTTCTGTTTGCTGTCATGTTCCAGGAACATAACCAGGGAGAAAAGTGAGTTTTTTAAGTTGTTTCATTTTATTTATGTCTAATTCTTTATCCATTCAGTTTTCTAACCCAAAGTGAAGATACGAGTATATTACAAATGCTCTTGGGTATAGAGAGCAGAGATTTTATTATTTTAGGACGTTATGGTGAAGCAAACAAATGGTCTCTTTTGTTTAATCTTTCATTCCAGTTGACATGACTGTTGGGAAGGTGACTTCTGTATGGTTTAGAGGAGCCAAAATAACCTAGCAGGAGGTCAGACTAGCTGGCTCTGTAGCCACTGTTTCTCTCAGTTTATTTCATAAGGGGCTTTTATGCAATATAGGAGATCTTTGAACCATCGCATTTACATATAATCCCCAATTTAGCCCTGTCTTCTATACTTGAAGGTAGCTGTTTGCCAAAAATCAGTTACTTGGCCACTGTGGGGTTCTGGTTTGCAGGGAGTTTTAAACCATACTGTTAATCAGGGAAACATGGGGAAAGCAATGGAGAGAGAATCAGAACAAGCAGTTCTAGTTAGAGCAAGAGCCCCCTGCCAGCTGCCTCCTTTTTTCTCTCTTCATAGGTGTAAATACCATCCAAGTATGCCCTGCATTGCAGGGAGACTGGAGATCTGTTTGTTTTGCAGTTAAAGGGTAAGGGGGCCCTTTCTGGAAAATTTTGCTTTAATTTACATGTCTACCTCTGGCTTATAATGTTGTGTATGGCCGGAACATAAACCGTCCCCATATTTAAATGTGAGTGTACAAATACATTCCAGAACCAGATAAAAGTTTTTTTTTGTTGCCGAGTATCCATCATTCTTTAAATCACTTCACTAATTTCTTTCATTTCTATGCATAATCAGAAGTTTTAATAAAAAGTTAAAAATTCTGAGTCTGGTGAGAATCTGGAGCTTTTTCTTTCCATAGGCAGCTGTAAGTTTCTATTTATGCCTGGTCGTGTATATTATATTGCTGAGTAAAAGGTTAAATGAACAAAGGGTATAGGTCAGATGTTTATTGATAGTGTGTTGACTTTTGTTAAATAGGTATGCATAAGATGACCCCACCAATTAAAGATCTCCTGCCTCGACTCACCCCCATCTTAAAGAACAGGCATGAAAAAGTACAAGAGAATTGTATCGATCTTGTCGGACGCATTGCTGACAGGTAAGCAGATTATGTAAACGGTTTTATGAGCTCTGTTGGTTTTCACATTTAGCCACTTTTTATTTACTGCAAATTTGCTTAATGTTGCTAATATAACTATATATGGTAAGACTATCCAGTGAAATTTTCAGTGAAATTTGAGAGGTAATGAGAGGTGGCAATATGGTTTTAAGATTAAACCATCCTTTCCGAAGAGTAATGTTTTTATTTAATGCTTAAACTGAGTAGGCGATCGTGTTTTGAGAACTGAATTGTAAGTTTACCTTCAAAAATTTCTTGTTGCCACCAAAAAAAATAACTTTTTTCTTAAATTAGGGGAGCTGAATATGTGTCTGCCAGAGAATGGATGAGGATTTGCTTTGAGCTTTTGGAGCTCTTAAAAGCTCACAAAAAAGCTATTCGTAGAGCCACAGTCAACACATTTGGCTACATTGCAAAGGCCATTGGGTGAGTATTACTTACCTTTATATATGTATTTTTAACTTTGTCATAAACCCATAGTGTTAGAAAAGCTTCTGTTTCTGTAGTCATTATCTAAAGGCACGGTGTCAGTAATACAGTTGAGAAGTACATCATTTAACCACTGACCTTCAGTTTTTGAGATGTTTTCTTAAATTTCAGATTGAATTAAAATAGTTTTAGGTTTTATTTTGTTTTTAATTATGTATTTATTTATTTTTAGAGAATAAGAGCAGGGGGAAGGGATAGAGGGAGAGTCCTAAGTGAACTCCCACGCTGAATGTGGAACCCACTGCAGGACTCGATCTCATGATCCTGACATCATGACCTGAGCCGAAATCAACAGTCAGATTCTTAACTGACTGACCCCCCAGGTGCCCTTAGTTGGAGAGTTTTAAAATTTAATCACACCTCATATATTTTCAGAAGGAAAACAGTACCACCTTTAGAGTAATTTGAGATTTTTGTTGGTCTTTTTCAGGATATTGTTTAAAATGTTACGGCCAGTTCTTAAGAAAACAATCAGCATAATTTAAGTCTCATGTTAATGCATGTGTGTTGTTGTTTTTTAAGATTTTACTTATTTTGAGAGAGAGAGAGTAAGCAAGCACAAGCCCGGGAAAGGACAGAGGGAGGAGAAGCAGATGCCCCGCTGAGCAGGGAGCCCGCCATGGGTCTTGATACCCGGACCCTGAGACGTGCACAGAAAGTAGACACTTACCTGACTGAGCCTCCCAGGCACCTTAGTGCTTTGTGTTTTAAAAATAATTTTCTAGGGATGCCTGGGTGGTTCAGTCGGTTAAGCATCTACCTTTGGCTCAGGTCATGGTCCCAGGATCCTAGGAATGAGTCCTGCATTGGGCTCCTTGCTTTGTGGGAAGCCTGCTTCTTCCTCTGCCTCTGCTTCTCCCTGCTGCTCGTTTGCTCTCTTTCTCTCAGATAAATAAATGTAAAAAATAATTTTCTAAAATGAATCCACAAACAACTGAAATTACAACTACTAGATAATCTCTGGTTATTTGCTTCCACTTCATCAGAATCAAACTAGAAGAAATAGTCATTTTGGAAAATGAGATACCACATATACATGTAGCTTAGTAACAAAATATTTTCAGACAATAAAAACATAATAAAAGTTAGATTAATAAGACAAAGTCTCTTTACCCTCACCCTCTTTTGGTAGCAGTAATAATTTATTTCAGCAGTGATACATTCAAGATATTTGCAATGAACAGCCTTTGTGCATTTTTTTTTTTTTAATAGCTCCCGTGTCTTTCTAAGTTGGTAGTAAAATAAATGCTTGACGACGTATAGATGTAATAAAGTTACGTGAGAGGGAAGATGAGAAAAGGAAAGTAGATATTGTGTGTTGGGGCATGAGAGACCATGGGTTGGATACTGCCAAGCTCTAGTGGCCATGTTTTGACCACTCTAGAATTATTCATTCTAATCATTTAATTAAACTTCCCTATATTAGGAAGTTTACTAAAGACTCAAAATTACATTTGAAAATGAATCCATTGAATTTTTTTCTTTAAGAGATACATTTTTAATTTCTTTTTTTAAAATATTTTGTTTATTTGTCAGAGAGGGAGGGAGCACAAGCATGGATAGCAGCAGGCAGAGCAGGCAGAAGGAGAAGCAGGCTCCCCACTGAGCAAGGAGCCTGATGTGGGACTCAATCCCAGGACCCTGGGATCATGACCTGAACCAGAGGCTTAACATACTGAGCTACCCAGGTGTCCCTTTTATTTATTTTTTAAATGTCTATCTATTTATACTTTGCGGGGGAGTTAGCAAAGCAAGGTTTATTGAGTGATAGCAAAGTGATAGTACAAAGCTCCCAAGGAGGTAGGGGACCTTGAGAAGGTTGCCACTTCACAAGATACTTAATGGAAATGAAGTTCTTGGGTGTTTGGGAACTCAGTTGTTCAAGTATCTTGCCTTCAGCTGAGGTCGTGATCTCAGGGTCCTGGAATCAAGCCCTGCTTTGGGCTGTCTGCTTTTCCCTCTCCCTCTGTGCTCTTCTTTCTCTCTCTCTCTCTCTCTCAAATAAATAAATGAAATCTTAAAAAAAAAAGTTCTTAAGTAGAAACAAGTGCCAATTTTGTCATAAAATTTAAAAGTTCCTAGTATTTACCATAATGTTGTATTTGTTTGCACTTTCTTCTTTAAAAAAAAAATGACTTATAATCTGACAGTTTGTTGACGCATTGCTTTTTTTCAGCCCTCATGATGTCTTGGCTACACTTTTAAATAACCTCAAAGTTCAGGAAAGGCAGAACAGAGTTTGTACCACTGTAGCAATAGCTATCGTCGCAGAAACGTGTTCGCCCTTCACAGTACTACCTGCCTTAATGAATGAATACAGAGTTCCTGAGCTGAATGTTCAAAACGGAGTGTTAAAATCACTTTCCTTCTTATTTGAATATATTGGTGAAATGGGAAAGGACTACATTTATGCTGTAACACCATTGCTTGAAGATGCTTTAATGGATAGGTAAGTGACCTGAATTAAATGCAGCAAAGTAATTATAATTCTTCCTTTAGAACTTACTGGAATAATTATTATATGACCTGTTTGTTATGGTGCAAAGGGGAATACTGGCCCAGATTTTTATGAAACTGAACATGACTGTTCAGATAATATAAATGCTACAGTGGTTCCTCACATTTTCTTTTCCAAGTATCCCCTCATCTTTTTAATCCCCCTTTCATATCTTAGGCCAAATCCATTTTGAAAAGCAGTAGTTGATAAGCTTTTGTTTCAAAAATTAAAGTCAAATAGAGGAAGTGATAAGTATGAACTCACTGATGTGACAAAGAGACCTGATCTGTTTAGCTTCATGTTACTGGATGTGAAGCAAAGATTTCCATTAGGCTTTTGAACTTGTGAACATAGCCATGCTCCTCCCATTTTAGGCCCCCGCTTGTGCAGAGAGCGGCCATTAATCGAGCACTGCTTGAGTTGTTGGACCGACTCCTGGTGCCTCTGTCTAGACTGGTGTAGAGCTTTACGCACAAAAGTAACTGAAGAATGTAAAGGAAAGGTCAAGGTCCAGGTAGTGGGCATGACTGTCTTGGCTCTTTATTTTTCAGGAAAGATAAGCTATTCAAATTGGAGCCAGTTCAGTTACTTTTGTGTACAGATTAAAGTTACTCATTCATCCCCTTCCGAAAGGGAGACTTAATAGGACTCAACAAGTTACTACAAGGAAAAATGCAAGACAGAGACAGAACAAGAACCGTGCTCTGTAAAAGTCTGGACACCTTGGGCCCAGTAAACTAGAAGCACATCGTGCATACTTCTCAGTGAGGCGTGCCTGAGCATCGTAGCGCAGGCAGTCTTTGAGGTGTGTGCCCTGAAGCTAAATACTAAATGGTACATTCTGTGTACTGTTAAGTTGAGGTGCAGCTCACTGAAAGTTACTAAATGAGAGGAAACAGTACTTCATTTGGGGAATTTATTAATGAGGAATATTGCTTTGCCAGGAGGTCTAATAAATGAAGCGTTATTACAGTGACGATAAGAAATATAGTCCTTAATTCAGTGTGTTTTCTTAATACCTTTAAGGTATTGTTACTTCCTTTGAAGTCAAAGAGCGTGAACTTGTTCTTTATACCCCCCCCCACAGCCTTGTTACCTGATGTTTGTACTCATTTGGGTAATTGTAGAATAACTCAGCGATTTGTCATAAACATAAATGCAGTTAACATGGGATGTTTGAAAAAAGTTTTGGTCCTTCTCCCCAAATTGCATTTCTGAATGAAGGCAGGCACATATTTGTAAAATTAACACTGTGTCTTAACAAAGAGCTTTTCTCCCCCTACCCTGTTACAGGGACCTTGTACACAGGCAGACGGCTAGCGCGGTGGTGCAGCACATGTCACTCGGGGTGTATGGATTTGGTTGTGAAGATTCACTGAATCACTTGTTGAACTATGTATGGCCCAATGTGTTTGAGACCTCTCCACATGTGATTCAGGCCGTTATGGGAGCCCTGGAGGGCCTGAGAGTTGCTATCGGACCATGTAGAATGTTGCAGTATTGTTTACAGGTAAAGTTAAGATTTTTAAAGGGTTACTCCGTGCAGAAAATCATTTAGTTGAATTAAGTCACTCTTGCTAATTATGAGTAGGGCATTTTGTACCATATGGGAGGACATTTGTGGGGGAGGAGAGATCATGTTTTGGCTTAGCTTACTGCAGTTTTGTACATTTGTCAGGTTTTTTCCCCTTTTAAAGGGAAGTATTTGGAATCCATCTTTGTGGGCTTTTTGCTTAGTTTTGCTAAGGTTATGTATGTTACTGAAAACTGAAATAAAATATGGCTTGTAATTATTCTAGGGTCTGTTTCACCCGGCCCGGAAAGTCAGAGACGTGTACTGGAAGATTTACAACTCCATCTACATTGGTTCTCAGGACGCGCTCATAGCACATTACCCAAGAATCTACAATGATGATAAGAACACCTATATTCGTTACGAACTTGACTATATCTTATAACTTTATTGTTTATGTTGTGTTTAATTCACAGCTGTTTCACCTCTTAAACTTGCTTCGATTTGGTGATACAAACTTTTAAACATTGCAGATCAGGTAGAACTGGTCATAGAGGAAGAGCTAGAAATCAGTAGCATGATTTTTAAATAACCCGTCTTTGTTTTTGATGTTAAACAGTAAACGCCAGTAGTGACCAAGAACACAGTGATTACACACGCTATACTGGAGGGATTTCATTTTTAATTCATCTTTATGAGAATTTAGAATTCATTCCTTGTGTTTAAAGGGAATGTTTAATTGAGAAATAAACATTTGTGTACAAAATGCTAACTTGTGTGTGTTTTTTGAACATGACTTGTAAAATGCGGAACTTTGATGAAGTATTGGTTTGTGTAGAATAAGTGGCTTAATTTTATTTTCTGTTACCTGGTTTATAGAAAGTAGTTAGCAGAATATAAACTATATAAAGTGATGGCTTCTTTGTCAAATTCCATTGTTGTGTTGATAATGACATCAAGAAGAGTAGCTTTGAGGGTTTACCTCAAAGTAGCACAACCGTTCATCACCATAGAAAATAATAGCACCTTTGCTGACCTGTCTTGCATAATACTATTTTGCACTTACATAGCGCCTTTCATCTCTTGATTTCTCAAAATGCTTTATGAACATGTTTAAGAGAAGTGATTCAAGTCCTGTCTAACTCTTGAGTTAGTGGTTAGAAGGTGGGGAAGGTATCCTTACTTCAAAACTGCTTTCTACCTAAGTATTGCTAATAGAATAAGACAATCTTTGGGCTCTTTCCCATGTCATAAGCCACTACTCAACAATGTATTCAGAAAATACTTGTTGAATACCTATTGTATACCAGCCACTGTGCTTAGTGTAGGGGATGCAAAGGTGCTTTTGACCTGCCCCTTGCCCTTAAGAAATGCAGTATAGTGGAAAAGAGGAGACACATCTAGTTGCCTATTACCTACTGTGGTTAAAATGTCTGGGTTTGCGTAAATTGATCTGTAGGTGTCAAGCATAAATCGAAACCATTTAATTCTAGAGGAACCAAGCATTAAGGCAGTACTTACTATGTTTTGGCAATGACTTTAAATACGTTTTCAGCTTTTCCTAATTTTCTGACCAAAAATTTCTTTGTTTTAGTCCTTTTACTGCCCACAGTAGTGTTGTCTCCTTCGGTTAGTACTTTGGTGAAGTCTAATGAGAAATGAGATTGTGCAGCAGGGTCAGCATGGGATGACTCTGCCGCTGTAAGGAAAACTGGTCCACTGGGACGAGGAGGTTGGTTCCTGCAACTGTTAACACTTAGGGCCTCCTGTTTTGGAGGCTGACACGACTGTTTGCAGTTGGCTGACTCTTACAAAATGAATACTGAGCATTAGCTGGCTCTTCAGGCGGAATTTTTAACTCCTTATCGTTCCTTGTGTAACATAACTGTGACAACATGTCAGTGTGTGCTAAAACAAATTGGCCAAATCATCTTTTTATTCTTGAAATTTTTGTAATAGTAGCCCCCGTGTAACTTTGTATCTTGCTCTTTCCCATAGTTAATGTCAAATGACTCTTAGTAATTTCTAATCCTGAGAATTGAGGAAAATGATTAGGCTTCAAAGCCAAAATTTGTTTTAAACCAATCTTGGGTAAATTTAGTTGTATTTTCACTTCAAGTACTTGGGTAACTTCAGTTTGCTTGGGCCCTGGCTCTTTATGGAAAATACATCTGCTTTGTAGTGGCGATGTGGAACAAAGGAGACTGCCTTATATGACTTTTACTGATGCAAATAATTTGAAGACAGGTGAGGGAAATACGGCAATGACCTAAAAGGATGGGACCAAATAAAGGCTCATAGACGTTTGGATAATTTTGTATGCTTATTATTGAAGAAGGAAAGCATTTTGTGAAATACCCTTGTGAAAGACGCTATGTAAAGTTTTAACTATCTTTCAGAAGACTTTTCTTTCGCACTTTCTTTTGGTGTTTCTTAAAGCCAAACTTAAGCAGGAAGAAAATGTTCTTAAGGGGAGACTGGGTGGGTTTTTCTGTGGGCTTTTGTTGGTTTTTCTGTGGGCCCTCCAATGGAATTGATCTCTTTGGCTGTTCAAGTTTTTCATATTGTATTTTTAAAATTTGTTGTACGGTGCCCTGTGAGCATCAAGTACCACCAGATGAATAAAACTTATTATATCTAAAGTCTTAGACCAGTTTTTAATCTTAGCTGACTGTATTGTTATTGCACTACACTGTTGTGGTTGTGCCATTTAAATAATACTGAGCTCTCTGGGTTTTCCAGACAAGGGAACTTAATACTTGAAAAACCAAAAAACTCATTAAATACGAAAGCAGCTAGAAAAGGCAGTTGCATCCGTATAGGGTTAATCGATTCTTTGGCTTCTAGTGCCCCTTAGGTCCCATAGGTTAAAAGAAATAGAAACTACAGCTGTGAGAGGGTTTTTCCGCCTTGGCATTGATATTTTGAGTTAGATGACCTTTTTGTAGTGGGGGCGCTGTTCTGGGCGTCATAAGGTTGTTGAGCAGCGTCCCCGACCTCAACCACCCACCCACCCCAGTTACAACAGCTAAAAATGCCTCTAGGTTGTGCCTCGTGTCCTTCGGAGAGCAAAATTTCCCTAGGTTGATAACCATTGAGATTGGTTTAGACAGGACTCCTGTCTGATAAAATTACATCGTGGTGTGTAAAGCATTTCATTTTAGGCAGCATTTGCCTAGGAAGTAACTAGATAAGCTATTTCACAAATACTTAAAACATCTATGTTGGATAAATGCCACATCAGTCTTGGGGAAGGCAAACTAAAAGCATTTAAGATGCTGACTGACTTCTCTGGTTCTCAGCGTATCTCGTGGCCCAGTTGGAGGTAACTGTGAAGTGCAGGGACAGGAGTGCCAGTGGCTCAGTGTGCACTTGGAATGCAGTTTTTCAAGGCGCTCGTTGTCACCTGTGGGAGGTGGGGTGTGTGATAAGGCAGGAGGAAGAGGGCAGGCAGTGCACAGAGCCCTCCCCCACTCCTTTTTTTAAAAATGTGGATAGGAAAACAATTTAAGGTGATCTGATAGAGAATTTAGATTTGCCAGGAAGTCAGGTTTATAGTAGGAGGGAGTAAGTAAACTAGAGAGTGTAAGTGACATTTCCAGCATTCGTGCTAGAAAAACTATGTTTCAAAAATTTATTATTTGATAATCTAAAAAGACTATGAAAGGACGTGCTTGTATATCATATTGGCCGCAGACTTTTTAAAAATGGCCTAATTACCTTTTTTTTGGAAGGAGATTTGTAGCAAGTTAGTGAATGAGAGGTTCTGGAGGAGATTTAAGACTTAAGATTTAAGAAGTCATATTCTGGAATATGTCCTGGGAAGAAACTTGCAAATAGGAAAAATTGTTAATTATTCCTACATCTAACTGCACCCTAAACTTTAAATTTTTTTCAAATAATGAAAAAAGTTGGAAGAATAGTAAAATGAACACCTGTGTATCCTTCACCTAAATTTAGCAATTAAAATTTTGCTAAATTGTGCTTCATATTTTTTGTTTTTAAAGATTTTATGTATTTATTTGACAGACACAGAGAGGGAACACAAGCAGGGGGAGTGGGAGAGGGAGAAGCAGGCTCCCTACGGAGCAGGGAGCCTGATGTGGGGCTCAATCTCAGGACCCTGGGATCATGACCTAAGCCAAAAGCAGACGCCTAATGACTGAACCACCCAGGTGTCCCCTCCATATTTTTTTAAGTAGTGTATTTTTTTCTTAAGATTTTATTTATTTGTCAGCACAGGCAGGCAGAGGCAGAGGGAGAAGCAAGCTCCCCACTGAGCAAGGAGCCAGATGTGGGACTTGATCCCAGGACGATGGGATCATGACCCAAGCCGAAGGCAGCCGTTCAAACAACTGAGCCACTCAAGCGTCCCTTAAGTGGTGTATTTTTTTTTTCTCAACATTTTTTTTATTATTATTTTTTATAAACACATAATGTATTATTAGCCCCAGGGGTACAGGTCTGTGAATCGCCAGGTTTACACACTTCACAGCACTCACCATAGCCCATACCCTCCCCAATGTCCATAATCCCACCACCCTCTACCTTCCCCCTCCCTCTCGCAACCCTCAGTTTGTTTTGTGAGATTTAGAGTCTCTTATGGTTTGTCTCCCTCCCTTCCTACCCCCAAAGCCCCCCACGTTGCATTTCCACTTTTTCATATCAGGGAGATCATATGATAGTTGTCTTTCTCCAATTGACTTATTTTGCTAAGCCTAATACCCTCTAGTTCCATCCACATCCTCACAAATGGCAAGATTTCATTTCTTTTGATGGTTGCATAGTATTCCATTGTATATCTATACCACCTCTTCTTTATCCATTCATCTGTTGATGGACATCTAGGTTCTTACCATAGTTTGGCTATTGTGGACATTGCTGCTATAAACATTCGGGTGCACATGTCCCTTCGGATCACTACGTTTATATCTTTAGGGTAAATACCCAGCAGTGCAATTGCTGGGTCATAGGGTAGCTCTATTTTCAACTTTTTGAGGGACCTCCATGCTGTTTTTCAGAGTGGTTGCACCAGCTTGCATTCCCACCAACACTGTAGGAGAGTTCCCCTTTCTCCGCATCCTCGCCAGCATCTGTCGTTTCCTGACTTGTTAATTTTAGCCATTCTGACTGGTGTGAGGTGGTATCTCATTGTGGTTTTGATTTGTGTTTCCCTGATGCCGAGTGATGTGGAGCACTTTTTCATGTGTCTGTTGGCCATCTGGATGTCTTCTTTGCAGAAATGTTTGTTCATGTCCTCTGCCTATTTCTTGATTGGATTATTTGTTCTTTGAGTGTTGAGTTTGCTAAGCTCTTTATAGATTTTGGATACTAGCCCTTTATCTGAAATGCCGTTTGCAAATATCTTCTCCCATTCTTTCAGTTGTCTTTTGGTTTTGTTAACTGTTTCCTTTGCTGTGCAAAAGCTTTTGATCTTGATGAAGTTGCAATAGTTCATTTTTGCCCTTGCTTCCCTTGTCTTTTGCGATGTTCCTAGGAAGAAGTTGCTGCAGCTGAGGTCGAAGAGGTTGCTGCCTGTGTTCTCCTCAAGGATTTTGATGGATTCCTTTCTCACATTGAGGTCCTTCATCCATTTTGAGTCTATTTTCGTGTGTGGTGTAAGGAAATGGTCCAATTTCATTTTTCTGCATGTGGCTGTCCAATTTTCCCAACACCATTTGTTGAAGAAGCTGTCTTTTTTCCATTGGACATTCTTTCATGCTTTGTGGAAAATTAGTTGACTGTAGAGTTGAGGGTCTATTTTTGGGCTCT